AAGAAGTAGACATCGAGTATATACAGTCATGCGACAATCCCGCATATTTGTTTACAGAGGCCCTTTCGACTACAATATTCCGAAAACACGTCTATGATATCGGAATGCAACATTTATGTGATCTATGAAGAAAAATCTATGTCTATTATGCATAGGAGGAGATTATGTTAGTATACTCTTTTTCTTTTCTTTTTTATGGTTTTATCCTAACGGGTTTTTTCATGAATAAAGTTTTAACGAGACGCTACGTAATTGAAGATGAATAATCAAGAGGGAGTATTAGAAATATTGATTACTCACCTCTATGGACAGATTCTTTGTTGTGACTATTATATAATCCTTGTCACTTCACATGTGTCAATATAAGAGAGTAGTGATGTCATTGTTTAATATTTTCTGATCACTATAAATATGTACTCCTCCTTCTCTTTTGTTTGTACGACGGAAGAAAGCAAAAACCAATAATAATTAACATTTCTCTTTTGTTCTAAATACTCTCTTTATAGTTTATCAGTTTACAACAAAACAAGTTTTTTCCGTTTGATTGTGCCGTTCTTAAGGTCTTCTTTATATTAGGCCTTATAGAATATTTAATCTTCTTTGGGATGGCTAGTGAGACGAACGAATGTTTTATTTTTATAAGGACAAAAAAATTGCCTAAATTATTGGTTAAAATTTAGTTTTGGTTTTTGAGAAAAATTCAAATTAAAATCAAGTTTACATTTGCGTTCAGCTATACATATGATTTTGAAGTTTTCTTCTTAGATGGTTTTGGATAAATAAATACCATTAAAAGGAGATTATTATTTTAATGAGTATTTTACGATTTCCAAAATTACCTTTAATAATATAAATAAATTTTTATTTTCATTAATGGTAATATATTCTTTTGTTTTTTTTGGCCTAAAAAATATAATAATGAGTTTCATTAATGGGCTAAATTCACCTTCAAATTATTTATGAAATTTCTTTCAAAAATAAACACATCAGTCTTAATTGACGTAGTTAGAACTGAGAATTTTGATATTAATCTACGGGTTCCACCATGTTTGACCCACTACAGAACAAGTCGATCGATTTGAAAAATCTAAGTTGCCAGTGCAGATCAAGTGTATTTTATGTTGAATGAGTGTGGGTTGTTCTAATTTCAATTGCAGGAAGCCGGTAGTCCGCAAAATATTTTTTTTTAAGTTTATTTTTCAAAAATATACTAAATTTCCTTAAAAATAATTATTTTTAAAAAATATTAAAATTTAATTAAAAATATACTATTTAATATTATTTTTTAGAAAAAAGTAAAAATAATTATTTTTATTATATAGTAATTATCCATGGGTCTCGTAGATTACCCGTAAAATTAAATGGGATGGATGCGGATAAAATATATTTTCTTTGCAGGTTAGACGGGTCGGACGGGATGAGTTTGATCCGCTTCCCAGCACCAAACATAGTTAATTGATATTATTTTTTCAAATTAAAACTACACAATTACAGACGATACATTTACATAGATATTGATTATATCAATAAATTAAAATCTGTATTAATTTTTAAAAGTTATATTAGATAGTGACATTTTATATCATCAAAGCAAAAAACACTGTAGATAAAACAAAAAAAATGGTATAGCAATTGAGAGAGTTGCGGACCATATTGTAATTAGTTGTTAATTACCTTAATGATAAAGAAGTAAAGGATATATGCCTTCAATACCAACCAATTACTCAATCAGGTCTAGTTACAAGAAAGTAGTTACCAAAATAATCTATACCAAAATTTGTGAAGTGGTTTTGATATGTATTATCACCACATTTAATTCACTAAAACACAATTATGTCATATTAGAAAGAATGACATGTTTTATGGTTAAATATGATATTGACAACTGTATTTAATAGTGATTTTTATTTTTGGTAATTTTTTTTAAAAATATAGTAATAAATCATACATCATTATAATAAATATATTCAAATATAATTAAATAATAGAAGAATATAAATATGAAATAATTTAAAATGGTATTTAAAATATTTTTATAAACATAGAATTTTTTATAAATAAGATTTTAAAAAATTTATTCATCATTTTTAAAAATATAAAATTTAATTGCAATATCATTTTTTTCCTTTTGATATCTACAAATTTTAGAAATTCTGTTTGATTTCACATTTGGATAATTATAAGGATTTATATATTCTTATAAATTTATAAAAGTTAATTTAGTATATCTTAACAAAATCAATATTTTCATAAAATATTTTCACAAAAAATAAAATCTAAAATATAAATAAATTTTTTAAATGTAATTTAACTTTAATTTTTTTAATGGATGCACATTGTACAGAAAAACACCTAAAAGTACAATATAATTAACTCATTATCATATAGGCAACAACTCTCCTATTTAGTAATTTAATTTGTTTAACATAATATTTTATTAGATTTTTAAATAATTTTTAGTTATTCACTTCGGTTAGAAATCAAAATTCAATTGGGTTTAAATAAGTTGTGATATGATTCTGTATTGGAGTATGATTTCCATATAAATTAGGAAATCATACGAATAAGATTTGGATAAGGTTTTTATATGTTTTTCTATTAAGCTTTGGTTTTATGTTTTCCTATTCTTGCAATAGTTCTCTTGGTATAAATACCAAACATGATTCTCAATAATATTCAAGTTAATTTTGATCTTAAGCTATAATTTATCACGATATCAGAGCCAGGTTATACCAAGCGATGTACTGCAAGAGTAGGAAAACATAAAACCAAAGCTAAATAGGAAAACACATAAAAACCTTAGCTAAATCTTATTCGTATAATTTCCTAATTTATATGGAAATCATACTCCAATATTCTAGAATCAAATTCTTTGTTTTTAACATGTCTGAACCTAATTTAAAAATTTTGCATACTCATCTAGTTATGAACCATTGAACTATAAACGATGAACGATAAAATCGAAATGGAATTATCCATTTTTATCAGTTTAATCATAACTCATAAGCTATAAAGTATCGGTCAACGTCAACCAAACAAGAAGTTAAGTCAACGAAAAAGAGATGTATTTTAAAGTTAATCAAAGAACCGGCAAGATCGTGAAGGATGAATGAGTTGTGTGTGGCCATGTTCCTTACAGCCTTTTCCAGTTTCTGTCTCTCATAACTACACATTTTCCATTATTATTTCAATTCATACTATTAAATTGAGCTGAACTACATATAGTAAAAAGATAAATAACATTGTAACGCGTTATAAAGTATTTTCCATTTGTGAGATAACGAACTAAATCCTACATTGAAGAATTAGATAAGGAGAGTCTAATATATAAAGAGAAGTCCAACTCTAATATTACGAGGTCTTGGGAAGGAAACCAAAAGTAAATCCATACGGGCTTGTCAATTAGACCCCAAGTGGATAATATCGTACTAACAATATCGGGTTTTAACAAACCCAACAATTGGTATCAGAGCGGTTGACAAGAAATCTACAAGAAGACCAAAAATACCTTTCGAGAGATGAGTGGGTACCCTTCGAGTTAGGAATGGGAGGTGTGTGTGGCAGAGATCGCGTCAAAAAGATCTTGGAAGTCAATTGTGGAACACGAGATGAATGTGATCCTTAGTTTGAGGGGGAGAATGTGAGATAACAAACTAAGTCCCACATTGGAGAATTAGACAAAGATAATCTAATATATAAAGAGAAGTTCAACTCTAATAGTATGAGGCCTTTTGGGATAGAAACAAAAAGTTAATCCAAGCGGACCAGCCAATAAGACCCAAAATATACAATATCGTATTAATAAGAAAAAATAGAGTTGGACATGGGCTTTAACAAACCTAACACCCTTGTCATGGCCATGATGTCGAGAGTGGCCAAAGGTCTTGGCTACATATACATTGATTAAGTTAGGAGTAACACTTCTTAACACCTTTATAATTTTCAATCAGACTTCGGCACATCCATCACTGAATTGCTTTTTTTATTTTATTTTACATGATGCTGCTCGACAGAACTAGACTAGTTCACTCAGGATTAAACTAACTTAATTTATCATTCATAAATTTTGGTATTGACGAAATGCATATGAAAAAACGTTTTGCTTCAGGTAGATGTAAAAAAGGAATCATAATGATATTGTTGGCACTCATGAGTCAAGGCTAATGTGTCGTAAAATACGTTAAAACTCCACTACTAACATAAAGTACGGGCTGATATGTTGGACGAGGTTTGCTTAGCGAGTGGTATATATTTAGGTTTGAAATTTTCTTTAAAACTCCACTACTAAAACGATATATTGTAGAGCAGTTTTTGTCTTTGTTCTTCTGCTTTTATTGATTGCTTTACCTCAGTTTTAATTGATAGTCAACTGTGGCTTAACTAAAATAATATACCTATATAACTGGTGACGTTAATATCACTTAAAGTCATCATTTTCATATTAGTCTATCCTGCCATCACCTATTCTCTAAAATATATTTCCCTGATATTTCATCAACTTTAACCTAATCACAGCCTAAACATATTGTATGCATCTCATATGTGCGATGTTTTAACTAAATCAACTAATTTAAAAAATACAAAACATTTAATAAATAGAGAGTTACCTAACCATTGGAATCCTAATGATGATAAAAATTAATTAAAATTTTAAATCACTTCTTATTATTTTAACCATGTTAGAGCTTTGGGACTGACTGCAACGAGATGATAGTGATATTCATGAATATTCGGGACTGTCCAAGCTTCTCAACGGAACTGGAAAAGATCACGATGCTGCAGATTTACTTCTCAGACATTTAAGATTTTCTATGTCCCTAGGACATAATGGGTTCTCTGATTCCTTAGCTATGACTCCTCGATCCTTCTATCGAGAACTTTTATTTGTTGATTGTTCTATTTCGATCTGGATTCACAGACCAACTCAAACTTAAGTAATAGATCAGCCGTTTGATGTAAAAAAAAAACATGTATCTTTTTCTCCAAATCGAAAATTAATGCGACAGAGAACATGATTTACGTGTATAATATAGTTGAAGGGAATCGATGTATATTATATAGGAAAATATTAAAACAAAAAACAGTTTATGATCATCAAACTTGAAGAGAGTATAGAGGAGGAAGATCCGAGATAGTTCGTGAAGAAGACGAGGACGACAACAAGCGTTTAAACGATTTGATGAAACGAGAGATAAGATTTTTGCAAACGCAACTATTGTTCTTCCTCAGCTTCCTTAGCTTCTTACCGATTCTCATTCTTATTCCAGCTACTCTGATTATAATCAACGGTCCAGATGACCTCTTCCTCTGTTGCTGCTGTCTTGTTCTGTTGTCTGCCCGGTCTAAAACCTTCTCAATTAGAAACTGAGCTCTTCTGTGAATTAACTCTTGGGGATCTTCTTTCTCCATCTTTGTGTATACGTATGGATTATTCTTCGCCATTATTGCCGTTGATTGATCCTTTTGAGTTTTGTCCTTTGAAGTATTTAGAAAGATTGTGCAAGCTAATAACATGAAGTACACATATATATATAGTGAGGGAGGGGGAGGGCATGAAAGAGACCATGTGAGTATTATTAATTGATGTGTATGACTATATGAGTAATACTGTACATATATATACATATATACATGTGGATTATTTTTCTAAGTTTGTCTACCTGCCAGGAATATTCAGTTTCCCACATATTATGCTTACTTTATATCATTCAATGACTACAATTATGTAAATTTACTATATATATATATATATATATATATATATATATATATCTTATGATTTATAATGTTTACAACAAACAGATCTAAATTTCTATAAGTGGAGGATTCACTGTACAACATATATAACAATTTAACTCGCATAAATGATCGAATATATACCTATATATCTGCAATATTAATATTATTTGCATATAGTATAAATTCAAACTCAAACCTATATCTTTTAAAGCGCTTTATGTGAAATATATTTCAACTTATAACTGAATATAAAAATTATACACAAACTAAAAGTATTTTGTTATAATATATAAATCTTACTCAAGAAAATATTTTGGCCTACAAGTGTCTTCAAATTTTGAGTTAATATGTCATTGAGATTACAATGACAGTGGTTTGGTTTGACCCAAAATAAAAAGATTATAATGGATTGCACTTGTTAACCTGGACTGTAGTGTACCAGGTCTCTTTAAATTATAAGTAAGTTTAGCCTATTTCTTACATTATTGTCAATCATTTAGAAACAATAAGATTGCAGTATTGCTCATTCTCCAAAGTAAAAAAGAGTAAAAGTAAAATTTATGTTGATAGCATTCACTTATAATCTTCTTACTTTGGTTTTCGAAAAGACTTATTTTTAAGTTCACCAATCAATAGTATTAAGTTATTTTATATTTGATATTTTTTTTTAAAATAAAATAAAATAAAATATTATCAATTTATATTATGTTTTTGAAATAAAAAAGTAAGAAAAAAAAATAGTAGTAGTTGTAAAAAAAATTAAATATTTTTAACACTGTGATCAAAACACTAAACCTTATGCTAAATCCTAAACCTTTGGGTAAACTATAAAATCACGGATAAATCTTGTACCCTGAATAAAAAACACTAAATCTTACAAAAAAAAACTAAACCCTTTATCATAACCTCTAAATCTTTCAAAAAAAAAAAGATAGTAATATTTGTGAAAAAACAAATGAACTTTTAAAAATATATTTAACGCCATCAATAAAACACTAAACCTTAAATACTAAACACTAAATCTAAAACACTAAACTCATAATTTATCCAAGGGTTTAGGGGTTAGGATTAAGGGTGTAGTCTTTTTAATATTTAGTGTTTAATATTTTTTATTAATTTAGTATTTAAGATTTATGTAAGGGTTTAGGGGTTAGGATTTATGGTATAATATTTTGTTCACGGTGCTAAAAAAATATTAAAAACACTTTTTTGGCAACTACTAGTATTTTTTTTTTAATTTTTATTAATCTTTTCATTTTAAAACATAATATGAATTACATTATTTTGTTTCTATTTTTAAATGATATTAAATATGAAATAATATAATATTATTAGTTGGTGAACTTAGAAGATTATCCTATGGGCCCAAGAATAAACATTTTGAAACAGCTGCTAGTTAATATTTGGACGACCTTTTGAGATGGTTTATCAAGATTGAGACATACTTTGGAAACGGTCGTCAGATGAAAACTATATATTTAGTTTTGGCCTCACAAGCTCACATGATTATAAACACATATCATTATTGACAATTTGGTATATTAGTTAATTATTTGTTAACTTCTCTCTGTTTTTTGCCTTTTGGTGGCATTTATATGACAATACTTGCAGGCATGTAACTTTCTATTTATTTTATTTAAAGGACTAATGTAACTCTATTTTCTAAGGTATCCGCTGATGGAAACAACATGATAAGGAAACTCCTAATTAATACTAAACAAATATTATATTAAATATGCATGTAACTATTACAGAATAATAGCTATGCTAAATTGCATATAAACTACTCCCTCCGTATTTGAATGTATGATGTTTTAGATTTTTTTTTTTTGTATACAAAAGATTGATGTTCTATCTTTAATGAATGCATTTTACTTTAAAAATAAAATATAAATCAAAATGAAAAAGGTAAATGGTTGAATTTTGTTGGGAATTAAATAAACATTAAAGTAACTAAAAGTAAAATAAGAAAGTAACAAAAAAAGTAAATATTTAATTTGTTTTAATATGTGTGCACACTCTTAAACATTATATATTTATATCCAGAGGGAGTATAATATTACAATCTAGTTTTACAGCCACTCATTTTTATTCTTTTATTTATTTTTATTTTCTTTCTTTTTAATGAAACATTTCTCTTCTTTTTCTATTATCCCTGTAAATCTCTTGAAAAAATCATTGAACCTCAAAATTCTTAACACAAAGATAAAATCTTATATATATATATATATATATATATATATATACCATAGATTAATATTTTTTGTAAACAGAAAAAATACAAAAATCGATGTTTAAATCTTCTAAAAATATGATATTCTATTCTATTTTATATCATTCTGTTTTTATTGTTGAAGACTATACTATATACCATAACGATAAAGATTATGGTAAATAGTATACTATAAATTTTTATATCATGCCTTTCTGTAATTTTTGTCAGCTTCATGCATTTTTGTATTAAAATAATATTATTAAATATATTAAAAAGATGGTTACTTAGTTTATTTTATCAACTAAAATGGTTAGTTAGTTAACTATACCAATTATATGGTATATGTTTAATTATTTAGTTTAATATATTCATCTCGTTATATAGTTCAATACATGTTTAATTGTATTGTTTTATTTATAATGTTGAAGGCTATACTTCAATTTTAAGATTCTACATACTATAATCTACATCTTGAATTCAGAGAGCTATGAAATGTACGATTCAATGCGGTTCGGTTCTCATACTAACAAAAAATGTATGTCTGCAAAGACTATTTCTACTAGTATTAACTGTAATCAAGTTTATCGTTAGCATTTGAAGTCATATTATAGAAATGTGTCTAGTGTCATTTGTAGGGACAAATTTGATGCACCATCAAGCATAAACAAAATTAGTTTTGTCCAGTTTTATGACAAATGGTTACATCCTTTTTCTATATATCTGTATATAAAAAGAATTCTATTAAAAAAAACATTTCTGCATTTGAACAATTGCCCAATTCACTCCTGACCCTTCCAAAGTATTCGGGAGTTTTTTTCAGAAATATAGTAGATGAAAAGTTGCTTCCATATGTTACATGGTGTAGATAAGTTAAGTTGGAACATGGTAGCTAGTGGTAATCTCGTATACTAATCAACATTCATCAGACGCAATTATATGTGCAACTCAGATACCAATTATTATATCATAGAAACAAATTAAATAATTGAGAAATACACAATAATCCTATATCGTAGCTGACGCATTTACTTCATACGCGCATGCCGGCAAAAACGTCAACATAAATTAAATATACAAAAAGACAAAATTTCCACCGGCATAAGCTATGAAAATGATTTCCTGTCATTTGTTGCTAATAATAGTGAGGATATAAATAATAAGTAATGAAATTAGCTTTAAAGGATGTCAAAATGATTGGGACATGGCGAGTTCAGATCTGTGATGAAATTACTTATAAGTCAACTCACCGGCTAAGCAACTCGGCTTTTGCCAGCTTTTCCAATCATGGATCCATGCTCTTGTGTCGTCGGTTCTTCTTCTTATTTTCCCGTTTGGAATATTTTATGGATTTCTAATGATAAAGGAAGAGCTTACAACAAATACGTTTATGTAAAGTAAATTTTATTGTAGCTCTGATATGCCCCTTTCGGGGATGATAATTAATATATACTAGGTGACCGGCCCGCACCCTGTGCGGGCATAAGTATGTTCAAAAATTTATTATAATAGTGTATCGGTTTAGAAGTAACGGACTACACAATGTTTTGGAGAAACCCTACACCATGGAGAAAAGCCAGTACTCAATATTTGACATTGTATGAGAGGGTATAAAATAACGCACATGGTGCGAGCAGTTATTGTGTGTATGTATAATTGCAAAGTCTCAAAATAATTAGTGTGTTTTACGAAAATATTTTCATTCGTCATCTAATGGATTTGGTAAGACTTCTTATAAAAAGAATTGACAGTTTTAGAAGTAACAGATTTTATATTATCCTTTGTAATTAGAATTATATTATATATATGTTGTATTTTTATTTTTAGGTGAATAATAGTATTATGTTTAATTTTCAACCTTATTTCTGTACACATATTAAAAGAAAATATAATAAATTTCAAAATAAGCTCCCAAAATAAAAAAAAATTATTATCCATAAATAATATAAATTTATGAAGTACAAAATCTCGATAAAGGTGTAGCAAATCCATTAGACACCTGCAAAAAAATATTTTAGCTTGTAAGCCCTAAGACAGGATAAATTTCTGTGATAGATATAAAATAATTTCTGAATTTATTGTATCTGTAAATAATATTAAATTCCATACCGTCATAGAAATAGGCAAAATGATGGATGGTAATCAAATAAAATCTCTCTTCTACCTCATCAGTACCCATCTTCCAATACCTTGTCAAAAAATAAATGTAAAAGTTTATATATCAAAACGAAAATTATTTGAAAAAGTATATTAAAATCACGTACCCTGACTACGGAATATTTTGGAAAACTTGTTTGTAGACAACATTCAATGTTCTGGTCTGCTGCTTCGATTCTTTACCAGTTATTAGGATTTTTAATCCCGATCTCGACTTAACTCTTGAAAGTGCTACGTAGAGCTGACCATGAGAGAATACTGGCCTAGGCAGGAACAAACCAACACTTTCCAGTGTTTGACCTTGACTTTTGTTGATGGTCATCGCGAATGCCAATGTAACAGGAAACTGTCTTCGACGCATTCTGAAGGGAAATTTTGTGTCAGGTGGTGTGACAAACATTCTAGAGATCCAAACCTTGTCACCCGCAATATTGTTTCCGGTTATAATTCTACCTTCTATCACATGGGGCAGTAACTGAGTAACAATTTGCCTAGTACCATTACATAACCCATCAGCAACATCAATGTTACGGAGACACATAATAGGAGCACCCACCTTGAGCTTCAAACAATGTCTAGGCAGTCCAGCCACTTTAACACTGTTCAAAAACTCTACAGGATATACTACAGTTTCTTCTATGTCAACATCGGATGGGATAATACTGTCTGAGCTAAGGTAAACCTTCTCTTCACCTGAAATTATATGTAAATCATTTTCTTTAGTGACCTCTTATTGGTAGTGAAACATAAGAGTAAATGATTGAACATGTTACCTGACAACTGCGAAAGCATGTAATCATTTATTTTATCCACTTCATCATTAGTGGGAGTAAGAATGGCTCGATGTCTATATAAATCCTTATCTGTTGAGGTTTGAAAAGCTTGTCCATAAACCTCTTTTGCCATAGTATCAATAGGATATTCTCCATTATTTTTAATCAGCAAATCAGAAGGGATGTCAATCTCAACTTGACCGTCGTTAGGCAAATTTATTTTTCCATCTCCAATATTCAAAATCCAGTTTGAGAAGGATTGAAGCTCTTTTGCTGCATCATCAGTAAGACCAGCGAGCAATCTCATGTTTTTTGTTAGCTTCAAAACTTTGCAGTGCTCCCAAAGATACGACGAATTAAGAGCCGCCAAAACCGTCTCTGCTCTACCACCCCCAGGTATAACCGGTAAAATCTGTCTAAAATCTCCACCAAAAACAACAACTTTACCTCCAAAAGGTNTTTTGCTGCATCATCAGTAAGACCAGCGAGCAATCTCATGTTTTTTGTTAGCTTCAAAACTTTGCAGTGCTCCCAAAGATACGACGAATTAAGAGCCGCCAAAACCGTCTCTGCTCTACCACCCCCAGGTATAACCGGTAAAATCTGTCTAAAATCTCCACCAAAAACAACAACTTTACCTCCAAAAGGTTTGTCTTCATGTTTGGTCGTTTTTTTTCATTTGAGGTTAAGACATTTTCTTGCGAGTTTTGCCGCCACAATAACTTGTTCCAACTTGCATTCCTCTTTGATTCGAGCATCGATGATTTCTTCGAGAAAAAAATAGTAATGTTCACAGTTACTGACCTTTGCATCCGTCCGGAACATATGGATTGCCTCTATAACCCTTGTTGCACGCACAACTTGCATAGTAATCAATATCGGCTAAATAGCTGCATGTGCAGTTTCCTTTGTAAGATGGTTGAGTACTATTGAACTCATCTGTTATAACGCATCCCAAGGACTCTATGAAGAAATAGTAGCGTGTATGAATGAACCATCCTAACTCAACCGTAGCATATCCTTTAACATGAAGCTGTCTTGGATCAGATATATCTTCCAAAATGAATGGGTCGTCCGTTAGTAAGGCAACTTTGCACCCTCCTCCCAAAGTTGTGGTGGTACTTTCATTTATCGCCACGCCAACAAGCTGTTGAAGCTCGTCCGGCATACTTGCCTGGCAGCATCCAGAACTATCGCAGACTGTTTGGTTCCCAGTGCTTTCTGCAGCACAGTGAGTGGAGTGCATCTTCCATTTCTTGACTTTACAACTAACGTATGCGAGATAGTTTTGAGTGGACGTATTATGCGAGGGCTGTTGTGTTGTGCCGCAAGTAGAGGTGCATCCCACCGTGCTTGTCTCAGCAGTTTCTAAAGATGCCCTCATGTTGCAACCAACAGCAATAAGGCTATTCTTGTAGCTAACGTAAAAAGGGCTGCCCGTCAAATCTAAAACTGATGCAGCTATGTCGTTTTCCTTCTCGTTGTCGCTGGAACAACCTTTTGAAGTTATAGAATTCTTGATATAAACTGACCCGTACGAATCAACACCTTGAGTGTGGTATTCACTCGGTAGGGAGATATACAAAACTTCCTTGTTAGCGATAGAAAGGAAGGTGGAACTATTATTAACGCATTTTAATGCGTACCATTTGTTGAGATAGCAACCTTTTCCGATTCCAAATGGGAAGGGGATCTCGACTGTGCCACATCTTTCTTGACACAAGCCCGTGGCAGAATCAAAATTCAAGGAAAAGAGNTGAGTATGAGAATCAAGAGGGAAAAACTACACTCAGGGCTCATGTCTTATCTCTATCTCTGCTCAAGCAAATACTGTATGTTCTTTTTCTGAGTTTTGTTTCTTGCTAGATAAAAGAGGAAAATTGCGTTTACCGTTTACTTGGACACAATACAGTCAACACTAAGTCTTCGGTCTTCATCTTTGAAATTTAGACCGGTCAGCGTCTGCAGCATCTTTGAATTTTCTTCTCCGTCTCAATCAAATGGATTATCAAGTATACCGGTCTTGATCATCTTTTTTGTCATGTCAAACTATTATATTAAGATGTCCGTTAAATGTAATATGTAGTTAACTCACTAGTACAAGTGCAGATGTAATTTTTTTTTTAAAGTGCAGATGTCTTTTTTTCCAAGTGCAAATGTATATACCTAGGTCCGGGCATTTGGATATTCGGTTCGGTTCCGGATAGGAACCATTCGGTTTCGGATAGGAACCATTCGGTTCCGGATAGGAACCATTCGGTTCCGGGTATATCGGATAAATCATTCTTATACCCAATAGATACTTATGAGATTTCGGTTCGGTTCTAGTTCGGTTTCGGTTCGGTTCCGGGTACCCATTTAATATATAAATCAAATATATATATACATAATATATTAGTTAATATATTAATTTAAATGGTTTAATGTTTACACGCTTACATATTAGTCAATCCAACAGGAGTTCGAAATCAATAAAATGTTAATTTTATAAATATTTATCATATTTTAATATAAAAATATCATATATATTTATAAATATAACAGAATAAATAAAACATAACGTGGTCTGGTGGTAAAAATATATTTACTATTTGTATCTAACATGGGTTCAAGTGGGCTTGATGTAATTTTATCTTATTTTAAAAATATAACTTATTTTTTCGGATATTCGGGTACCCATTCGGTTCTCGGTTCGGTTCCGGTTCCGGTTCGGTTTTTCAGGTATAGAAATGTAGGAACCATTCGGATATTTAACAATTTCGGTCCGGTTTCGGTTTCAGGTATTTCGGTTTGGTTCTGGTTCGATTTTTCGGTTCCGGTTTTTTTGCCCAGACCTATATATACCTAAATGAAAAAGAAAATCGGGTATTAAGATATAGGTCAATTTTTTTAAAAAAAATATTCATTCACATAATATATACAAACTCTAAATGGATATTTAACTCAATTCATTTTTGTATTTTTTTTGCTTTCTTTGGATTTTGATTAGCGTTTGTTCACGACGATGGACATGGGCAAATGGGGATTATTCTAAAAGTGGACGGGTTTGATTATTCAGAGGACTCTGAGCTGATCAAGAAAAGAAACACAGAGCTCCAAAAACAGGATCTGGGGACCCTGTATCCTCTCTGCAAATACTTGCCGTCCTGAGTTTTATACAACTGTTTAATCATCAACAACAAACATCATCAAGCCCAGAGATCTCATATTGATCTTTGAACTCAACAAGACTCATTTCTATTTCTATTCCACTTCCAAATGCCCATAGACACTAAAACACATCGAAAACAGCGTGACATGCAAGCAAACCCTATTTGAGTCATATGAATGTGTGCTCATCAGGAACGGCTAAATGGAGAAAGAGAATTAAACTGTATTTCAACATTAGTAGACTTAACAGCTGCAACGTCCTCTATCATGCTGGAGTCATCTCGAAAGTAGCTATCATCGTGCATCAAGTTACTGAACATTCCATCTGCGTTATTAGGAACCAATCTGCACTTCATGTTTCAGGGCCGCTGTCATTATTTCACGCGGATGATCCCGAGACTGTTTGGATCAAGTGGTTGAATTATCAATCAAACTAAGAACAGATAATTAAGAAAATACATTGAATTTTTATTGCATAAATTCAGGAAAAACAAAATCAACACCTGAAGTCAGAACCCAATTTTTCTCAGCATGGTACTGAGATCTCAAGCCAACTCCTTGGAGTTCCATCAGTCCTGGAAGGCTAACGTGTGAAGGTACATTATCTGCTGGATGCAATGCATACGTGGAGTACCTTCCTGATTAATTAAACATTCAAAGATTACTTCGAAGATCTTTTGCTACAGTCAAAAAGAACAATGAAGACACACCATAGTCTCTTGTAACTCGGCCTTGAGATAACATTCACGGATTACTTCAAAGATCTTTTGCTACAGTAAAAAGGACAAAAAGGCTTATAGAAACCCATACATCATTCTGGCTTATAAATACTCCACTCCTGATATTATCTACATCAAAGACAAGACATGACTAATTTTTTTAACTCTCAAATACAAGGATGATAACTTGGAAAGTTGCTATGATGATCAAAAGAATACAATACCTGCTGAAAAAGTTATTTGCCTCGTTTTCCTGCAATCAACCATTCCCTACAATATAATCAAATAGCTCACCAGAGTTCACATAGTCCATAATCAGATAAATATCTGTGGGAGTCTCTCTGACCTCATAGAGAGGGATGATGTGAGGATACATAAATAGTCTCAAGATTTTGATCTCTCTCCTCACTGCATCAAAGAGAACAGGAACCAACACTAAATGAGTTTTGAGTAAAAGAAAACTAATATCCACAGAATCGCAAAGTCTACAAACAGAAACAAAATCAAGTAAATTATAATGAGAATACAACAAAAGTATACCTTCTACCTACACATACATGTTCTTGATTTTGCAACTACTGATGACCTTGATGGCAACATTGTGTCCGGTCAAAGTGAGCTCAGCTATCTTCACCTTACCGAAGGAGCCGATACCGAGAATTTTCCCGAGCTTGTGATTTGGCAGAATCGACTCCACACCACCTTTACCACCTGATCCATCCATTTTCTACAAAAAAGATGCAACTATACACACAAAAAGGAAAAGTCCAAAGCTCAAGAGAACTATATTAATCAAAGTAACTGCAAGTAAATAGGAGATGAAGAAAGCAAAAAAGGGTAATACAAAAACATGAGTCAAAAGCCAATTCGGTTTAGTGGTCTAATTATGACAAACCAAATCTTTTTTCTTTTCTTTCTTTACAACTTGTATACAAATACAATACAAAACCGGTTCATTCTAATTTCTAGGTGGAGAGCCAATGCACACAGCAGTCGGTTTAGTGTCTTCTTCCATCTGTTAAAGAACACAACCCGCGTTGAACAACATAACCAACTTCAAAAGGACAAGCTAGAGTTCTTTTGAGAAAAGGTCTATTTTCAGCCTTGATTTGAACGGAGAAGTGGAGGATCTTCAGGTGAGATGCCCCGTCCGTACCACGACTCCGAGACAGCGGGGTCTCGATAAGCGACAACGAGTTTCGCATAGAATTCAGACATGTTCTGCTCTCTCGCGTCTGCTTTGTCTTTGTTTACCAAACACTGCAACAATGAAGGTTAGGCTTTATGCTAATGTTCATATATAATATATATATATGAGACTGCAACAGGTCTAATAATACAAAGTAGTCAGATTTTATGTTCCCAAACAGTTCTGAGGAAAAAGAAATGATCCCTAAAGCATTTACCTCGGTAGGATAAGATTTGAAATTTGCTAAGAAACGTCTGTGGCAGTAAATGCTGAAAAGGAAGGTGAGAATCGGAAGTGGGATTGTTAAAGAAGATGCCAAGGGAAGCTCTTTAAGCCCGAATATTCCGATTGCAATAACGTGCATCAGAACCAAAGAGAAGATAGTGGAGTTATGTACTATTGGCCAGAACTTTCCACCAGTTTCATACTTTGCCGCATATACGTTTAGAAGCTGCAAACAACACAAAAAGTTTAATTTACTACCACCAAGTTTAGAATCCAAGTAACTGAGCAGTAAGATTGGTTTGGTTACCTGGTTGCGGTAGATGACGTATCCAAGACAAAAGTAGACCAACAAGAAGGGCAGTATTAACGGAGAAAGGAAGAAGTAAGTTGTACCAAGAAGTCCAAAAAAGAGAATACTTGGTATCTCTTGGCAAAATGGAGTCGAAGGGACCTCAAATTCTTTGTCATCTTCCTTACCGAAAAGTTTCATCACAAAATTCCAGATAAGAGGAACCAAACGGAAGATCTCTGACGACAAACCAGTCCATCCAGATGTCACAACATAAGATATAAAAACGATGCCTGCACCAATGATCAAAACATGAATCATCATGGTTAATATATATTGTCAATCTTTCCTAATGGTATGAGATTGACATCTTTGGCATTTAATTTCCAACTTCTTTCGCAAGTTATCGAATAACCGAGTAAGGCAAGTAAATAACCTAACAAAATATTTGAGATACAATTCTCATACCATTTGCACGGCGAACCAAAAATAAATAAAAATGAAAATTAAAATAAATCAACCAATCAGATTCTCAGAATTTCTCTGAGAAGGCCTGTATAAGTGCCACGTGTCCAAGTGACTTCTCTTTTAATGTATAGTGTTGGGGTCAAAATCGGTACGACGGAATCAATAGCCAAAATTCCCCGCAAACGCGTAAACGCAACAGTTTTATGAATCTCGAGAATCATTTTATAAAACTAGAGAATTGTTTTATAAAACTCGAGAATCATTTTATAAAACTCGAGAATCGTTTTATAAAACTCGAGAGATCGTTTTATAAAACTCGAAGATCGTT